TTCACTCTGCCATTCGTGCTTTTAATATAAACCTATTTGACCTTATATAGATAGTCCCCATACTTTCTGGTGGCACATCTTTGTGTCATCGGGAAGTTGGTGAAGATATTTTCTGAACCTTTCTAAAAAGTTTCTAACGCTTGATAAGACGCATATCTCTTCGCATTTAATAACCCGGACACATGTTACCCTATGATTTAGTAATATTTTCACTGTTTCTCGAGGTAATCATGGCCATGATTTTAGCTGCCTATTCCTTTACTTATACGCCTCATTCTTCTTCTTCCACTTCTACTAGTTTCGCAAACTCTTTCAACTTCTTTGAATTCAACTCCTTTTTGCTTTCATCTCTCTTTGATCTTATTCAAAAAAAACTCCTATCATCTTTTGCTGATTATGGCTTCGTACACTGATTCTTCCAAGAACTCTGGTCTTCTCTTCGGTGGGGGCCCGAAGAGAAGCAAAGACAAAGAGGTCGATGTTGATGCTGATCCTCATACGATAAGTACCATCATCCCCAAACATCTCAACAAAACCAAGGAGTTCGAAGAGAAGTTCCCTACTTCAAACCCTTTCACTTGGGTTGTTGGCAAATACCCTTCATCTATTCTCCCTTCCGGTATTCCTGTTGTGAAAGAGGACTATGACTTCCATGCCTTGAACATCATTGCTCCCTATCTAGTGGAGCAAGTGACCTTCACTAAGAAGGGTTTTACGTATATTTACATGTATCCTTTCACTTTCGGTCCCTTCTCTTTGAGCGGGGGACTTGAACATGTGATTTTAAAGCTGTGCCACCGGTACCTAGTTTGTTTGGCCTAAGTGGGCCCTTTGGTGTGGCGAACGGTGGCATGTCTGGGGTAGCTATGCCAGGAAATGAAGGATCCCCTCATCTTGGCTCATATGATAAAGCTTTACTCCCCCAAGATCTTTCGTGGGGGGTAATAAATTTCAGCAAGAGTGGCCACCATGCTTTGCTCACCAGCATGGATGACGACAATGATCGTGGTTGGATGGAGCAGTTTGTATTCACTGCCACCAGGGATATCATCCTGGTTACAACTTCGTCTTTCCCCGAATCTCGACTCGTTCACGTAAGTTCATAATTTATCTTTTTCTCTGAAAATATAGGCAGTTTCAAGTCCTTCTTCATTCATTATTTCAGCAACTTGGTGGATACCTCCAAGGGTTAAAGTCCTAAATCGGCGAGTTCAGAAGATTCTAGACATCACTATGCCAATTGGCCTCCAAATACGGGTGGAGGGACAAGAATCACGGTAAAGAAACTCTTCTATTATTCTATCTTTGTTCATGGGTAAATTTGCTAACCCTACCTTTTTGTTTGATTCAGGTCTCCCGCAGGGTTCTGTTTCCATCCCTGAGGAGGATGTTATGGTTGATCCCGCAGAGGTTTCCAGGTTGTTAAAGGAGGCTCTCACCCGGACGGGTGCCCTCGGGTCTGCTTCCGGTGCATGCGCTTCTTCTTGGAATCTCCAGCCAGAGTAAAAGCAACCAAAAAGGTGGTGCCTTTCTTTGGCCGAGGGTAAAAACAAGAAAGCAAAGAAATCTGTGTCCGAGGCAGCTGTAGCCATTGTGGTTATGGACGATGACAGGGAAGCCAGTGATGAAGGGGCTTCCCTGGAAAAGAGACAATGACCTTCATCAGCTCAACAGAATGCTCAGTCATAAGAGCTTAGAAAACCAACCGAGGATGATGCCTGAGAGCTCAAGGGAGAATTTGACTTAGTGGAGAATACTGATTCTCCCTTTTCGGTCCCTCTTGCTGCTTCCAGTCCTGTGAGGCCGGACACTGGGTCTCTTCTGTCTTTGGTTGGTGAGCAACCAATAAACAACACTGCCTCTACCGCAACTGCTTCTCAACTTACAATACCATCAGCTTCATCTCCTTCCATACCGTCTATACCTTCATCACTAACAACTACTACATCTCCCCCACCGGCCAAAGACGCCCGAAAAGAGGATGTCCCTCCTCCCTAGTCCCCGGACCATGGGAATTTGGGGCACAACTACTCGCCTTCTTCTGCAAATCCCAGGGGAAGAGGAGTGTCTCACTCTCGGTGTCAACAGAGTGTCATCTGCTATCCAGGCCGGAGGAACTCGCCAATTATCTAAAGTCACTGTCTTCAAACAAAGATAAGAATAAAATGCTATCTCTTTCGGGGGAGTATATGATAAACAACGCCATGCATAATGCTGCAGCGGCGTTGTACTTGTTCTTTTACTAGTTGTTTCTTCTTGACTTGTTATGTAAGGGTTTCTAACTTTGGTATTTGCTTCGCAGGCCAACTTCCTTGCTTCCGAGGGCCTTCAGAAATTGATCCTTGACAACGAGAGACTCAATTCCATGCGGGATCAACTGTTGGCCGATAGGAATTGACTTGTTGTGTGCCTCCCGGTGCTAGAGGCGAGTGATCTTGAGGCACGGCTGCAGCTTAGCGAGCAAGAGGTAGTGGCCCTTAGGCAGGAAGCTTCTCAATTAAATTTTCAATTCCAAGAAGCCAAGGCTAAGTGATTTGAAGTTCAAGATGCCTTGCTCGTTGCAGCAGAACGCGAGTCTGCCTCCATTGAATGAGTGAATAACTTAGAGGCAGTCTTGAATTCCAAAACTAAAGAGGTTGTTGCTGCTGAGGAAAAGTGTTCCTAGATGGAGGATAGGTATAAGAGTATCATGGGACACAATAAGGTTCATATACCACTATCCATGATCTCGGTCTTACCCTAAGTGCCACGCGATCCGAGTGGCATGGCCTTTTGACCGAGGTTGATCAGCTTAAATCAGAACTTCAGCGCCAAGTGGATTCCCTCATCATCGAAAAAACACATTCTATGTATCATATGATGAGGAAAACCTTGGAAGAGGCCAAAGAGGGCGCCATTGATATTGACAATAAGATCGCCAAGGACCGAGCGCTGGAGTTAACTGCTCGAGAATGCCTCCCGACTCAGCCTAATGCAACTGACTTTTCTAGTTCCGGTTTCGAGTTCTCAAGAACCAAGGAGGAACTTGAATAGAATAATGATGAAGGCCAAGATCCTTAGCCGGTAGCGGATCCGCCTACTTCTCCCAGGGGCGCAGATGCTTCACTTCCCCTAAGTTCTGGCGGCGATGTAGCTTAGTTTTTTGCTTTCTTTCCTTTGTTGCTTGGCACGTTTAATAAATAAAAGTGTTTTTCATTTAAGCATTGCAAGAGTTTATTATTTTGCATCAAATTAGGCAAGGCTTCAGGTGTATTTTCCCCCGATAGTATTTGGGTTCCGGGCATAAACACTCTTCCAAAACCAATCCTTTACTGTGAGGGTTTCATAATAGATGGCCCTCTTATATTTACAGTGCTCTTGAAGAGGACGTCTTCTATTCATTCTGGCACTAGCATTTGAAGTACTTAGTTAATTTTCAAATGATAAAATCAACTCATCGTTTGGACAAGAAACAAGATAAAAATAAAAAGACTTTATTTTATTCCTTCTATCTTCAAAATTACATAACCAGTCGAGTGTTGAAAGAAAAGAAATTGCCAATACATGTGGCTATTTTGTGCAATTTATTTCTACGAGGCTAGTTGTGCAGTCCCCGGTCCGATGAGGCATATTTGTTCCTGGATTTCATAATGCCGATTTCCGTGACAATCATGTTATCGTATTCTCATACTATTCTCCCCAGTTTTCGAATGTGAAGAATGTGAATTGGAACACTGGAAGTCTTGCTCCTTTGAGGATTCCACTAGTGAATGGTTGGATAATCTTTGGTTCAATAGAAAGCTTCATTTTTCATTAGGAACTTTGCTATCGAGCAAAAGATTAACTAACCACCCCACTAGTGGCTTGTAGAAAAGAACACTCATGACAGTTGGATAGCCTTCGGTCTGATGGCAAATTATGCTTCCCGTTAGGAATTTGCCATCGAGCCAAAGACTATCTAACCATCCTGTAGTGATTTGTTGTTTCCAAGCCTTGTCGTTTAAAGGTATTATCTATATTGATGACATTATCTTCGTACTATACTTTCTGTTACTGCCTCATTAAAAACCTTGCCATAAAAATCCGATTGGGACAAAAACTGGTCAAAGGAAAAAATAGTGCAGCACATACTTTCAGTAAAAACGTGCCCACATCACTAATACCTTTTGAGGTGAGTCACGTTCCAGTTGCTTGGCAATTTGACTCTGTATTGGTTTTCTAATTCATGTGATCTTTTACCGGTTACAGCTCAAACCCTATAGGGGCCTTCCCCCATCGGATCCAGCTTTCCCGCATTGAGCTCCCGGGTGTTCTGAGTTACTTTCCTCAAAACCAAGTCTCCCACTTTGAAATAACGGAGATTTACCCTCCGATTATAGTACCTTTCCATTCTTTGTTTCTTGGCCACCACCCTTATGTGCACCAAGTTCCAGTGTTCGTCAAGCAACTCCAATTTGACCAGCAATGCTTCGTTGTTTGTTTCTTCGTCTGCCCAAAAATACCGCAGGTTTGATTCTCCTACTTCCACCGGGATCAGAGATTCTACACCATATATGAGAGATAAAGGTGTCTCTCCCATTCTCGATTTGGTCGTTGTCTGGTATGCCCACAACACCCGGTAACTCTTCGGATGGTATGGCGAAGATGTGATTATGTTAATTTTCAGGTCTTCAAGAAATTTCGTGACCTTGGAGCCAATGAACTGTGTCCCATTATAGTAGGCAATCTCCTTCGGTATTCAGAACCGACAAATTATTTTTCCCACAGGCAATCGACCACTTTGCGCTCACCGATCTTCTAGTAAGGACCTGCTTCAATTTAGTGAAGTAATCAGTTATAATTAAAAGAAACCTTACCTTCCCGGGATCCGGCAGCAACGGTCCACCTATATACATCCCCCATTTCTTAAATGGCCATTGGGATAGTACCAAATGCAACAATTTTGCCGATTGGTGTACCAACGGTGCATAATGTTGACACTTGTCGCATTTCCAAACTAACACCTTCAGGGCTTGTTCCATTCAAGGCCAATAGTATCCGTCCCTAACTAATTTTAGGACCAATGAATCTACACCTGAATGATTCCCGCAAATTCCTTCATAAACCTCTCTCGTGACGTAATTAGCCTCGGTGTCTCCTAAACACTGGGCCAACGGGCCTTGAAATGACCTTCTGTATAACTGTCCTCCCCAGAAGATGTAACTAGCTGCTTTGGTGTGAAGTTCCTGGGATGCCTTCGGGTCTTCGGGCAACTTGCCATGCTCAAGATAGTCGATGATCTCATTCCTCCAGTCCCAGACTAGGTTGGTTGTATTTACTTCATAATAACCATCCACATCTAGTACCGAGTGCATGATATGTACGACCGTACCGGAATCCGATCCCTTCATTTTTGTGGACAATCCCAAATTGGCCAAAGCATATGCTTCTGTGTTTTCTTCTCTCGGGATGTGGTTAATTGACCATTCCCTGAACAGTGCGACCAATGTTTGAACTATAACCACATACTGTTGCATGCGTTCCTCCTTAGTATCGAAGATTCCATATACTTGATTTACTACTAGTTGGGAATCGCATTTAATTTCAATGACATTAGAGTCCAGGCCCCGGGCCAATTCAAGTCCTGCAATCAAAGCCTCATACTCGGCTTCATTGTTAGTCAAGAGAACAGTTTTTATGGCCTGCCTCAGAATCTCTCCCAATGGAGAGATTAAGACCACCCCGATCTCAGACACTTTCACATTGGAAGCTCTATCCGTGAACAAGTTCCAAACTCCTGATGTCGTTTGCAACACCATCACTGCTTCTTTTGTGGCAAAAGGTAGTAACCCGGGACTGCAATCGGCCATGAAGTCGACCAAAACTTGTGATTTGATTGCAGTCCTAGGCTTATATTCAATATCAAATTCACTGATTTTAACTGCCCATTTGGCCAGTCTACCTGACAACTCAGGTTTGTGAAGGACATTCCATAGGGGAAAGGTTCTTACCACGGCTATAGGGTGGTATTGAAAATAGGCATAAGCTTTTGAGAGGCAACTATGAAAGGTAAGGCCAATTTTTCTAGGTGCGGATAACGAGTTTTTGCTCTCGTAACATAATAGATAGGAGATTTCATGCCTACGTCTTCCCGAACTAGAACGGAACCTAGCGCTACCTCCGAGACCGCCAAGTATATTAGCAATTGTTTGCCTTCCTCCGACTTTGATAGTAACAGAGGGCTCAATAGATACTGTTTCTGGTCCTTTAGAGCATGTTGGCATTCTATAGTCCATTCAAAGTTGTTCTTCTTCTTTAGAAGTGAGAAGAAGTGATGACATTTTTCTGAAGACCGAGAAATGAACCTGCTCGGAGCGGCCAATCTTTCGGTTAGCCTCTAGACTTCTTTTATGCTTGTCAGCTGGTTTGGGATGTCCTCGATGGCTTTGATCTTATCAGGATTGACTTCGATCCCTCTTTGTGACACCCGACAATCCAAGAATTTATCGGACCTAACTCCGAACGCACATTTTTTGGGGTTGACCTTCATGTTGTGGTTCCTTAGGATGTCAAATGTTTCCTGGAGGTGTTTTAAATGGTCACCTCCATTCAAAGACTTGACCAGCATATAATTCATGTACACTTCCATTGTTTTATCTATTTATCTTTTGAACATCTTTTTCACGAGCCTCTGATAAGTGGATCCGACGTTTTTGAGCCCGAAGGACATCACATTATAACAATATGTGCCAAAGTTCATTATGAATGAAGTTTTTTCCTGATCCTACGGGTTTATCTTTATTTGGTTGTACCTAAAATAGGCATCAAGGAAACTCATTAATTCATGCCCGGCCATGGTTTCGATCACTTGATCGATGTTTGGCATTGGGAACGAGTCTTTCAGTCATGCCTTATTCAAATCCTTATAATCTACGCACATTCAAAATTTAGTACTCTTTTTCGAAAGAACAACTACATTAGCTAGCTAGTCGAGATACTTTTACCTCCCGATTTGAACTGATGTCAAGTAATCGAGTAACTCCTTCTTTAACAAACTTGTTTCTGACCTCAGCTATCGGGCGCTTTTTCTGCCTTACTGGTGGGATGCTTGTGTCCAGGCTTAGCTTGTGCACGACCACCTCTATCGAGATACCTGTCATATCCGCATGCGACCATGCCAAACAATCAGCGTTAATCTTAAGAAAATCAATAAACCCTGACCTGAGTTTGGGGTTGAGGCCTGTCCCCAAGTGGAATTTTCTCTCCAAAAACTTTTCAAAGAAGGACAGATGTTCGAGTGCTTCTACTGTGGACTTGGTCGCATCCATTTCTTCCGGTACTTGAAAATATCTGGGTACCTGGTGAGGTTCCGATGACTCCTCCCCTTTGTCATCTTCCCTCTACTCGGGAGCAGACATTGATAAGTAGGGATTTTGACCGCTTATTTGCTCTCTTTTACTTGCGTTTTAGCTCAAAAATGCTTAAAGGTATTCCCGACAACTAATAAAATGTGCTTCTGCATAGGAACATTGGGAAACGAGCCAAAGGAGTAAAAACCAACTCATAAAGTAGTCAAAAGTGGACAAGGACCAAAACAAGGCAAAAGGCCCACAGTGCGGACCGCACAATACTGTGTGCGGCCACAAAACAAAGGAAGAGCCATGTAAGTTCATCTTCTGAGTATACGGACCGCACAAATATTGTGCAGCCGCAGAAGAGGAGATTTAGAGAGCTGGTTTTGGGCAAGCTGAAGGAGTGCGGACCGCACCATAATGGTGCGGCCGCAAAATGTTAAGTGTGGCCGCACTCAATATTAAGCGGTTCGCAGAAGACAAAGATCAGAGAGATGAGATTTCAAGTACAAGAATAAATGCGGACCACACAATTTTTGTGCAGCCGCATAATCAAGAGCGCGGCCGCACTCATTTTTATGCGGTTTGCAGAAGTCTCACACAGCCAGAGCCAAGCAAGAGTGCGGCCGCACTCACAAAATGTGTGGTCCGTAGTAGTTGAAGGAATGTGGCCGCAATCCAGAATTGTGCAGCCGCAGAACTAGAACCTATCAAGACAAGTCTCGTTTTGCGGACCACACACATAATTATGCGGCTGCACAACCTCCGCAGGGGTATTTTTGTCACATATTTTTAGCTTAGTATAAATAGAACTTTTTGTCATTTGTAGAGTAAGTTTTGTTTTGGGAGAGCACCTGAGACATTTTTCTTTACTGTTTTGAGTAATATTGTACTAGATTAGTTTTTAAACATTAGATTTTCTTTCCCTAATCAATTATTATGCATTCTATCTTAATATCTTCTTGTATTTCTTCATTTTTCATGAGTAGCTAAATCTTTAGCTAGGGTTGTGGCCCAACCCTAGTGTGGGTACTTAATGGGTGTTTGATTTAGGACTAGTTTGTGATTGGATTAGTGATATTTAGCCTAGTTCTTGCTTGAATTCAAGGATTAATGGTTGCAAACATTGATTCATTCCTAATTGACTTAGTCTCTACTTGAGAAAGAGAGACTAAGTCTAGGAAAACATGGCTAACAAGAAATTGGGGTTAACTCAAGAAATTGATAGCCCCAATTAAAGGATTGAATCTAGAGATAGTAAGAACCGACTTGAGCATTTATCACTTGTTTTGTGCAATACCCATTTGGACTTGAGAAAGACAAATTGGGCAAAATCACTTAAACTACTGAGAGGTATATAGTGGGCAATTGCGTGTGATTGTTATATTACAACCCCGACCAATCAAACTTGCCCTAAAGTTTACAACCAATTAGGTAATCACCTAGGTGGAAGTCACGACCCTAGATCTTTTATCATTTAAAAAACAACCAAAACCAAAAATATTGTCTCCTAGTTTTATAATTACAATCAATAGTTTAAAGTAGAAGTAGAAACAACAAACAAGAATGTGGAAGTGTAATCTAAGGCATATTGTACAATTACACTAAATATATACCCAATCCCAATTCTAACTCCTTGAGGATTCGACCCCGACTTGCGTAGGGATTTATTATTGATTTGACCGCCTCACTACCTATATTTGTGGTGTAAGTTTGGGCGACATCAATTTTTGTGCCGTTGCCGGGGAGTTAAACGGATTTAGCTATATATCTAGGTTTTTGTGTGATTTGTCTTGTTTTCCTTTTGAGTCACTAATTTTGTTTTTGAATTGCTTATAGATATGAGAATGGCTCTCAACAATGATCACATTGGTAATTTGCCATTGGGGGAGGAAGTGGACGATGATCAAGGAGATGAGGTTCTTCCCGAACCTCAAGCAAATAAGCGAGGCCGACTGCCTAATAATAATGTTCTCGTCCCTCCCCCACCTCCACCAAGAGCGGCAGCGCACCGGGTGTTACTGAACGAGGGTTATGCAAGTGCTATAATCTAGCCCCGCATTAGGGCGGGCAACTTCCAAATCACCAACGTGATGCTTACACTACTTGAGCAACGGGGATTTTTCACTGGGGCTCCAAATCAAAATAAGCATCTCAAGGGGTTCGTTGATACTTGTTGGGGGAGCAAGCAAACCAATGTTTCTGAGGACGCGCTAAGGTTGAGGCTATTTCCTTTCTCTTTATGGGGAAAAGCATTGGACTGGCTAGAGAGATTACCCAATCATTCCATCCATACATGGGATGAGTTGGCCGAAAAATTCATTGCCAAATTCTTCTCTTCGGGGCACATGGCAGCACTATGGGATGAAATTCTAGCATTCAAGCAAGATCCCTATGAGCCATTGCATGAGATTTGGAAACGATATCGTACCATGGTTAAAGAGTGCCCAAATAATGATATGACCGAGGCCATGATCCAACAAACCTTCTACAGGGGGATCAACATAACAAATCAATGTGTGGTAAATTAACTCGACGGCGGGAACTTCATGAACACACCTTATGTCGAAGCTTGTGAAATTTTGGATGAGATGGCGGATACCTCATCGGCATGATAAAGTAGGGCCAATGTTCCGCAAGGTGACCCCAATATCATTAACCTACACAAGGAACTACGTGATCATGGGCAAGCTATCGCAGAGTTAACAACCACAATGAACTAATTGGCCAAAGCTCAGCTACAACAAATTCAAGGGCCGAAACAAGTGAATGCAATGGAAGGTGTAAATATGATGATGAACAAGAGACGGCAAAAAGGTCAACAAGGGAAAAGCCGTCCGGAATAATTCATGCAAGATGATAGTGGGTATGACCAAGGTGATTGGTATAATGAGCTAGAAGAAGAAGTGCAATACGTCAACAATTATCAAGGTCAAAGAAACAATGCTCAAAATCAACAACAATGGAGATCACAAGGAAATCAAAGAAATTGGAACAACCAAGGCCACCAAGGCAATTGGAGTGGTGGCAACAACAATCAAAGAAATTGGAATAATCAAGGAAACCATGGCAATTGGAGTGGTGGAAACAATAATTAAAGCAATTGGAATAATCAAGGAAACCAAGGAAATTCGGGTGGCACCAATCAAAGTAATTGGGGAGGTAATCAAGGAGGGTGGAAGAACAACAACAACCAGGGGTCAAGTTTTCAAAGGCCCCCGATATTCCAACAACCGAGCAATCCACCCCCTATCCTTCTCAAGGCCCGAGCCCGAGCTCTTCTAATAATGATATGGGATGGATTGAAAGTATGTTCAAACAAATGAAGGATAAAAATTCCAACTCTGATGCTCAATTAGCCTCCCACAACACTTCAATCCACAATTTGGAGGTTCAACTTGGCCAAATCTCACAAGCATTGAACACTCATCCTAAGGGGGCACTACCAAGTGATACAGTGGTGAACCCAAAGGGGGGGAATAATACGGGTCATGCTATGGCCGTGACTACGAGTAGTGGAAAGGTGGAGATGCAACCACCTCAAATCAAAGAAGAATTGTGGATAATGATGTTGTAGTTCAAGAAGATGAAATTCCAAGCTATGTGGTTCAAGCTAATAACAAAGTGAGAATTGATATTGATGAAAATATGGAGGAGACGCAAGAAGAGGTGAACCCGTTCAGGGAGCACATAATTGACATACTGGAACCGGTAGTGCCAAAGGCTAACGCACCAATGACAAGGCCTCATCCTCCATACCCTCAAAGGCTTGCAAAACAAAACAGTGAGAACCAATTCAAAACATTTATTGACATGATGAAGAGTTTGTCTATCAATGTACCATTGGTTGAGGCGTTGGAACAAATGACGGGTTATGCAAAGTTCATGAAGGACTTGGTCACCAAGAAGAGGTCGATGAATTGTGAAATTAT